TAAAACATATAAAGGATGAACTTCAAAAGATTAGGAATGCATTAGTTTATATTACGATCTCTTCTAGTAGAAAACAAGTATTTGAAGATTTTTGTGTCGAACTAGGGGTGATGACTGCTAAAACATTTGTTAGTGACGTAGGTCATAGATGGAACACTACATACTTGCTATTAAAATCATGTGAAGGTTTCGAAAATTTAATAACTGACTTTTATAATAATAGACATGTTAGAAGTGATGATGATGGTATGTTAAATGAATCCGATTAGATTTTAGTTTTGAAAGTTAAACGATTTTTGGCATCTTTTTATGAGACCACAAAGATTTTATCCGGCGTTTATTATCCCACAAGTTGTATGGTGCTCGAACGCCTTTATATAATTGCAAGAACATTCCATAAAAATAAAAATGATCATACTTTTACTGAAATTTTAATTGCTATGGAATTAAAGTTTAGAAAATATTGGGAAGAACTGCCTATGTTATTTCCTTTAGCATGCACAATGGACCCCCGATATAATATTTCGGGAACTAAATACGTAATTGATCAAATCAATAAAGCTTTAATACTTGATACACCTATCACCTATAAGAATTTAGAGTAAACATTATGTGGAATGTATGATTTATATGCGGAAAGAATGGGTGCAAATGTTAGTCGGGTATCATCTGCTGCACCTACTCCTTCTGCTGAAACTGAAGAAAATGTTGCGAAAATAATGAATTTATTTCAGGGCATTAATACATTTAGATATGATGCAACTACAATGTGTTCATCTAGTGCCATGTCGTCTACATATGTATCTCATCAAACATCAATCGAAACTCAAAATGCGATGCCTGCCGAATTTATTGATTATTTCAATCATAATATGCCAACAGATAGAACAATTAAAAAAACTTCACAATAAGTAATTGAATTCTGGCGAAAGTATGAAAGACGTTGGCCAATTGTTTCTGCAATTGCGAAAAATCTATTGACACTTCCGGTTAGCACTGTTGCTTCGGAGTCTGCTTTTAGTGCAGGTAAAAGAGTTTTGACTGATATTAGGAGCCGACTGAAAGAAGAAGTTTTGGAAGCGTTAATGTGTGTGAAGGATTGACAGGACGCTCATTTTCGACTACAAGATAAATACGCTGAAATTGCATGTCGTCAGGTAAGTGATATTTGATTTAATTATATTAATCAAATTTTTTTTATTTTTTAATCGTTAAATTTAATTTTCTTTAAAAAATTGTACACATTACAACAAGTTGCTCGTGTACAATTTTTAACTCCGTCTACTTAAAATTGATGTAACCGGTTCCAAGCCCGAATAAAGGAGGAAGGTTTTCATTTTATTAACTTTAAAAAGAAATCAAAAAAAATATTTTTTGTAAATATATTTCAAAAAATAATTCGTTTTCATTGTATAAATATTTTATACTTTATAAAAAGTATTACAAATTACAATATGATATAAATAAAAAAAAATAAAAACTTGTTCTCGTTAAATTATTTGTATTTTTTAACACTTTTTATTTTTAAAACTCTATTCTTTATTAACTTTAAAAAGAAATCAAAAAAATATTTTTTGTAAATGTATTTCAAAAAATAATTTGTTTTCATTATATAAATATTTTATACCTTATAAAAAGTATTACAAATTACAATATGATATAAATAAAAAAAATAAAAACTTGTTTTCGCTAAATTATTTGTATTTTTTAACACTTTTTATTTTTAAAACTCTATTCTTTATTTTATATATATATATATATATATATAAAAGGCGAGCCCACGAGCCGAAGCTCGGCTCGGCCCACGAGGCTCGTTGAAAACGAGCCACGAGCACAAGCCGGCTCGTGGCATTAAGGGCCGAGCCTAGTCATCGCCTCCACCTCAAAATATATCAGCAATCCACAATCACACCACCTTCACCTTTCGTTGGACCACTACCAATTGGAGCGCTAAACCACCGTCACCACCCCTCCCTCAGCTGTTCCATTTGTATGACCCCGAACATCATCGAACACGTCTATTCTCTTTTCACTGTCGACTCTTTGACTCAATATAATGAGTAGCAGAGTCCTCATTGACATCGGACGGCAACGATAAAGAAATCGATGATTCGATTGCTGAAATTGATTTTAAATACGAACCTTGCAATTGGGAAGAAAACATAATAAATGATGTTGGAATAGAGTGGGTGGTATGAGGGTAAGATTCATTTTAGATAATGGAAGCATTCCATTAGTACCAACCCAAAGAAATACAACCTCTCCAAGATATACGATTTATGTCGAAAAGGTAAGAAGTTGGACTAATTTGGAAACATTGGGCAATTTACTTTATACCTACTATTCCATTTAATTTTTGATCCCTAGTCTTATTTTATTAGTAGCCATGATTGGGGATATAGTACTAACTATGCATAGGATTACTAAGGTAAAAAGACATGATATATTTCAACGAAATGCTATTAAATTTAGGAGGACTACAGACCTACCCACGATCTATTAAAGGGCAAGTAGCTTGATTAATTTGAGTCCAATTCGTAAGATAGCAGTGATTTGATCCTACATCTCGTATAGAATAGAAAGAGTGACAATAGTAGAGGCTGGTAGCATAAAGGTCCAACTAATGAATGCTCTTATCTTTTTCCTCTTCTCCATAAGGGAATTGATGAGAGATGCGAACAAAGGTTGCATAGGCATGAGTATCAAAGCTTCAGTACCAGCGTCAACGTCCCTTAGGGTTTCAATACTAGTACCAATAGCTTTCCCACCACCACCTCGCCTAAAATCTATTTCACTTCCAGTTGAAAAACCTCCATGCCAATTATTGACCCAGTGACCAGGGTAGAGCTAGTTGGAGATATATTACCTAGCCTTTTTGTGGGGATCTCATATATAAAGCAACTTCCGTCTCTTTTAACAAATATTAATTAAGGCCAGGATTGATTATGACTAAAGTCTTATTTTAATCTAAATCTAAGTCAAAGTCAAAAAATCAATATTTATATCTTTCATGAGTCCCATAACTTTTCAACAATGCATTTTAAAAATTTCTATCACAATCTACCAAAAATATCTAATTTTAATCCCTACCAAACATCCACTGAATCAGATTTCCTATCAAGCTCCTCCAATCTAATTCAAGATCTAGTCATTCAACGCTACCTTAGTAATAGAGGTGGTAGAAATACCTCATTTTTTATTTTTAAAAAAATTAAAAATTATTCAAGCCTTTTTTGATTAAAAAAAAATAAAAATAAAAATAAATAAAATTGGAAGTCAATATGTAGGTGGTGAGGTAATTTTCTCAAAAATAAACACAACTTTATCTTTCAAACCCAGTCGAGCATATAAGAAAGTGTTCAAGGTTATTGCCTTGTCTGATCCACATTCTTTTAAAAAAAGATACATTTAAACAGTGATTTGACATCACTTCGTTCACACATTTTCAATAAAATAATATTACATGTAAATTTAAAACTTTTTTTTATTTTTTAACTACACATTTTCCATCAAATCATGATTCAAAAATTCATTCCTATAAAAATAATGTGGTACAAACAAAGGCTGTAGTTTAAATGTTTAAATTATTAAGTAAAATGATTCAACCAGGTACGTTCAAAAATATATAAAAAAGTTCAAACTAACAACATTATTTATGTCCGTCCATCAAGCATCGGTCGACACGTGTTAGTGCTAGGAATTCAATCGCATGAAGCTACATCGCAAATTTCAAAAGTTTAGATAGAGCTTATTGAATAATTGTACCAAACAATATTGGGGCACGATGATCACATGCATATGTGAGAGTATTCATTGCACCAAGAATATTATTACATTGGAATTTTTATTTTTTCTACAAATTATGTTGCCAATACTCTACTCCCTTGTTCAAGGGCAAAATAAAGAATTCATCGAAATTTGGACAATTCTTAAATACAAAAGTAATGTACTTAACAATATTAATGATAGAACGTGTCTGTCCAGCATTTTTTGTTATCGACGCTCTTAAAGACGCTTTTAGATTAACCAATCAGGTATTTAATACAAAATCAAAGATAAATGTGATAATTATCTACTATTTATCTTAAAAATCTCTTTGGCTCTCTTGCCCACCACATGAAGCGATTATCCTATAAAACAAAAATGAACTGAAATTTTTCTTTTTATATGCAAAAAGAACAAATAAATAAATAAAATTACAACAATGTAAAAGTTTTGTTGTTACAGAAATAATATTCCATTATATATTTAATATTAAAAAAAAACAATTTTTGTCCTCCTCAACTCTATTTTGGCGTCGCAAGACAAAGATTCCTGTCATGCATAGGAATCATAAAATTAAAACAGAGATGGAATTATAATGTATTATGAGAGAAAGGGTTATGCCATTTGTACATAATTTTGATGTCCATCCTTTTGACAGATCGGTGTTGGCAATTTTTGGTTGGTGCAAAAATTGTCATATTTTTCTGTCAAGTATAGAATTTTTCTGTACAAGTAGCATTGTCCACAGGAATATTACTTTTCTTCAGTCCAAAGATTTTTATACTTGGAATTCAAGTTTTAAGTAAATTTTCCATTTTTGCTTTGAGATAGGTTTGAGTACGCTAGTTTCTTTAATTAAAACAAAATTAAATACTTCTATGATACGATAATTAATTCCAAACTAAGTATTTATACATTGAACTCGGAAATTTTAGATGCTAATATTAAGAAATATATTAAAGATGCTGAGATGCTTTTGACTAATCTGAAAAATAATTAAAGATGTTGTCCACACTTATCCAATATATCCTTGTTTGGAAAGTTTAATTTATGACAAAGCTAATAATTAATTTTATTCATATTTTATGTGTCTCGTAATTTTTTAACTACACATTTCATCAATATTTATTTAAATCTACTTACCGAACAAGGGCATAATAAAGATTACATAAATGATCCTATAAAATTATTGGAATTCAAAGGCCACAGCTAGCTATAAGAAGGACCTTGGAATCAACTCAAATCTGCCAGAATTAAAGACCCGTGGGCCTTCTCCGTTAAATTTCCTCTGCTAAAATACAAATCTCATAGTACAAAACCTTTCTGCATTCGAATGGCACTCCCTGAAACCGAACAAGAAGCTGCTGAAACTCTCCTGGATGCCTGGGACTACAAAGGCCGCCCTGCCCTAAAATCCTCCTCTGGCGGTTGGGCTTGTGCCGCCATGATTTTAGGTCGAGTACTGCATATACCAAACATGCTCTGTGCATCTAGGGTCTAATTATTTAATCCCGTTTCTAATATTTGGCTTGTTATCCATTTGTGATCAGGAGTCGAGGCTTGCGAGAGGTTGACAACCCTAGGAATAGCTGTTAACCTGGTGACATATTTAACTGCTACCATGCATTTGGGCAATGCTACCTCTGCAAATACAGTCACTAATTTTCTTGGAACTTCTTTTATGCTGTGTTTACTTGGTGGCTTTGTCGCGGATACATTTTTGGGAAGGTAATTAATGTTCGAAGATTTAATTTACTTACATATATATTATTCTTAATTAACAATTTTTTTTGTTGATTAAATTCGTTGAATTTTTCTTACAGGTACTTGACTATTGGCATCTTCGCAACTGTTCAAGCAATGGTTAGTTTATCTTGTTTTACTGAACCCTTCTACTTGTCTGAATTTTCTGGAGAATATTTTGTATAATTCTATAATATGAAATGATAAAGCGTGGTTAACTTCCAAGATTCTGGATCTGTAGATTTTTTCTTAAACTTATAAACTTATTGTACATGTTAAGACTTTTTTCTTTGTGATATCTTGCTAAGACATATCAATTAGTCCATGAAAAAATCGATCCAATTTGTTCGAGAATACTATTTTTATTTCTTGTGATAAGAAAAATCGGAAGGGGAAAAAAGAGTGTACTAGAACGAAAAAAGTAATAGTAATTTCAACACTTCTGGCTAGTTGTGAATTTATTATACAATCTGAATATTTTATATTGTTTTTATGATTAGGGAGTAACAATCTTGACAATCTCAACTATAATTCCAAGTCTTCGACCGCCAAAATGTTCCCCGGGCAGAGAATCGTGCATCCCTGCTAGTGGAATGCAGCTAGTTGTTCTTTACATAGCATTGTATCTAACCGCACTCGGGACCGGGGGCCTAAAATCGAGTGTTTCAGGCTTTGGGTCAGACCAATTTGAGGATTCGGACAAGAAAGAAAGAGAACAAATGACCAAGTTCTTCAGCTGGTTCTTCTTCTTCATAAGCATTGGATCACTTGCTGCAGTGACAGTTCTTGTTTACATTCAAGACAATTTGGGGAGGGAATGGGGATATGGAATTTGTGCATGTGCCATTGTTTTTGGTGTAGTTGTGTTTTTGGCAGGCACAAGACGATATCGTTTCAAGAAACTTGTGGGAAGTCCTTTGACGCAGATCGCCTCAGTGTTTGTGGCCGCATGGAGGAAGAGACACATCGAGCCGCCGTCCGATCCTTCCCTTCTATACAGTGTTGATGATATTGAAGTAAATAGCAAGAAGAAGAAGCAAAAATTACCGCACAGCAAAGAGTTCAGGTAACTTACTTTACTGTAACAACTGTCTCCTAGTAGTATATTTCTTTCAAGCGAGGTCATCAAATATATGAAATAATTCATACCTTATAATCTAATTTAAGTCAAAATGAAAAAGAAAATCATACCTTCTTATTTTTTGTGTGCATTATTTGCATATGATGAAATAGTATACAATGAATTACAGCCCACAGAATGCAAATGAATTAATTATTGGACCTATTGAGGCCAATTAACCTGGAAACTTATCACTAATTTGTGGTCCACTTGATAGCAAACTGCCAACCAAAAGAAAGAAAAAGGTGTCACATATATGATTGGTTCCTAGAATTATTGATAAGAATATTTAATGATCAATTAAATATTATACTACATGACATGCTGTTCGATATTTCCATACAAAAAAAGTGGGCCAGCTGTGGGTTAATCACAAGAAAAATAATTTAATTCTAATTTCTTGTTTTGACCTTTGGAAACCAAAGAATTTTGTCTAGCGCTTTGATCGTAGTATGACATCAAAAGATTGATTACTAAAGCAGGTAGAAAAATCACCGAGTCAAATAAATTGTCATAGGTCTTATAATTATTGACCAAAATAATAATATAAGACGTACAGTATTCAACAAATCGCCATAAAATATAAGAGACAAAATTTAAAATTTAATATTTATTTTTTATTAAATCTTCTTCATGCCTTGCTACATTTACATTAAAGTTTATATAAGAGATTACATAATACTCACATAACACTCTATCATTTGCTATTTTAGAACATAATCAACTTTTCATCCAATCATTTCCCTCCACATTATTTTTGGAAGTCGTTATGTACCATTTTTTATGTACAAGTAGCAAAATCCTATATACCATACCCTTGGGCAAGTACTGCATAATACCATGACTAAATTAAACTAGATAAAATCCAAGATCATGAGCCACTGGACAATTTGTCGCCTACTCGATCACGATCCTTGTCTCTTGCATCAATATAATTACAAACACACATATAAAATAGTAAATACCTTCCCCATATATGACTAAGGTTTGGTGGACCCCTTTTGGTCATCAGATGAGACAAGAAACACTCAGCATAAGATTTAGATAACTTGTTTGGCATCGAAAAAGTAAAAATATTGCTTTTCGTTTTCTAACATTTTATTTATTTTGGTTTCAAGGTTCCTTGACAACGCAGCAATCAAAGATCCTGAAATATCTATGGTGAGTAAGTGGTATCTTTCAACGTTAACCGACGTAGAAGAAGTCAAGTTGGTGGCTAGAATGCTACCCGCATGGGCCACAACAATAATGTTTTGGACTGCCTATGCCCAAATGACCACATTCTCAGTGTCACAGGCCACCACAATGGATCGACACATCGGAAAATCGTTCCAAATTCCGGCTGCCTCCCTAACTGTCTTCTTTGTCGGTAGCATTCTCCTAACCGTCCCAATTTACGATCGCATCATTGCTCCGATTTGCAGAAGGATTATAAAGAACCCTCACGGTCTCACTCCATTACAACGTATAGGAGTCGGCCTAGTACTATCGATACTAGCCATGGTTGCAGCTGCACTTACTGAAATCAAGAGGCTA